TTACCTCACTGACTACCACCACGACTACACCAACCCCCACCTCTCCCACTAGTGCCCTCCCCATGGACATCACAGAAATCCCCACTTCCGCTGACACTTCAACCCCTGCCACTTCTGTCACTGCCAGTTTTTCTACTCCTGTGGTTACTCAACCAACCTCAACTGGGACCACTAACATGGCAACGAGCTTTGCCTTGCCAACGCTGTATAGTACATCAAGGGTTTCTCCCATCTTCTCTTTTCCTATAGAGCATACATCCACAAGTGCAATAACAACCCCCTTTAGTACTATCATCTCCTCTTCAATACATACAATATCAATGTCCAGTTTTTTGTCTTCCACTCTTGGAAGCTCAATATTTCCTACCTCCTTTGGTTCCAGTTCTACGTACTCACATCATTTCAGTACAGAAAATCCAGGTTCTTCTTCTGCCACTGCTTTTTCTATTCCTGTTTCATATGAAACTACAAGAACTTCTCCAATTACATCTTCTCTAACGACCTTTTCTACTGAAACAACCCCAACTATTAGTGTTTTCCCCACTACTCTATGTCCTGAATCCATATCCATTACAATAGTGCCTACTTCTCCGACTACTCCATGTATAGAAATCGATCCAAATAGTAAAGTTACTTCTACACCCATCACCCCAATATCAGTGTTTACCTCTACTACTGAGATGGCCACCACCCGTCCTAGTTCCACCAGTATGACAACTGTATTTCCTACACATATGGACACTTCTACTTCAGTTGTGGAAACTGAACCCACCAACATCATAACTGACGCTGGTACTTCTGACAGCACTGGGACTGTCTCCATGAACACAGTATTGACGAGCACAGAAAGACCCAGCAGTGGGTCGTGGAAGAGCACCCACTCTGTAACCACCCAACCTGTGCCCGGCTTCACTAGCATCCCCCCAACCATGAAACCAAGCAGCAGCTTTCCAACTTCCACGATGACTTCAAGCAAATTGACAAGTCCCACCTCAACCACTATTGGGACTTCAGAGACACCTGTGGCCACCACTCAGACTCCCACAACTACTACGTCACGCAGGACAACTGCAACCACTGCTCAGGTGACCACACAGTCTACATATTCAAGCAAGTCGACAAGCCTCACCTTAACCACTATTGGGACTTCAGAAACACCTGTGGCCACCGCTAAGACTCCCACCACTATTACGTCACCCAGGACAACTGCAACCGCTTCTCAGGTGATGACACAGTCAATAACTTCAAGCAAGTTGACTGTTCCTTCCTCAAGCACTACTGGGACTTCAGAGACACCTGTGGGCAACACTCAGACTCCCACCACTATTACTTCACCCAGCACTTCTTCAACCACTACTCAGGTGACCACACATTCTATATCTTCAAGCAAGTTGACAAGCCCCACCTCAATCACTATTGGGACTTCAGAGACTCCTGTAGCCACCACTCAGACTCCCACAACTACGACATCACGCAGGACAACTGCAACCACTGCTCAGGTGACTACACAGTCTATATATTCAAGCAAGGTGACAAGCCTCTCGTCAACCACTATTGGGACTTCAGAAACACCTGTGAACACCACTAAGACTCCCACCACTATTACGTCACCCATGACAACTTCAACCACGACTCAGATGACCACACAGTCTATATCAACCACCACTGCAGGTTAGGCCTTCTCCTTCCCAGGCTAAATTCTCATGTCACCAAGGTCAGGCCCTATCCTGAACTTCCCTTTCTTCCTTTGTTCTGCAGGCACCTGCGACAATGGTGGCACCTGGATACAGGGCCGCTGCCTCTGCCTCTCGGGGTTCTCTGGGGACCGCTGTGAGCTCCAGGAGATCAGGTGCCAGAACGGGGGTCAATGGGATGGCCTCAAGTGCCGTTGTCCCACAACCTTCTATGGCTCCCGCTGTGAGTTTGCTGTGGAACAGGTGGAACTGGGTGAGTTGCCAGAGCCCTGCCCTGTGCACTTTCTCTGGGCAGGTGCCCCTGACTCCCTGGGACCAGTCCTGTGTTTGGCTTGGAGGCACCCATGCTGTTTTGCCCAATGCTTCTATCCCTGCGTTTTCTCCCAGGCCTTCCCCTATCCTCTCTCCTCTCCACCCTCACCTTCAGAAAATGGCTGGGACCACACCCCTGGGGCCTCCTCCCAGTCTCGGCTGCTTGTTGATCTATTTTTCTAAATGCTGCTGTAACAATTACCACAAACTTAGCAGCTGAATGACATAAATTTTGATTTTACAGTTCTGTAGACGAGAAGTCCAATATGGGTCTTGCTGGGCTCAAATCAAGCTGTCAGGAGGGCTGTGTCCCTTTCCAAGAGAATTCATTTCTTCGCCCTTTCCAGCTTCTGTAGCCTTCTACATTCCTAGTCTCAAGGGCCCCTCTCTCCACATTCAAAGCCAGCGACATTGTATCTGTGCCTTTTTTTCTTACTCACATCTTTCTCTGATTCTGACCTTTGTGCTGCCCTCTTCCACCTTGTGATTATATTGGGCCTACCCATTAATTTTCCCATATTAAAGTCAGCTGATTAGGAATCTTAATTACATCTCTAACTTTGCTTCCTCCTTGCCACTTATTGCATAACATATTGCAATAGCATAACATATTCCCATAACAGGTTCTGGGGATTAGGACATAGGCATTTTTGGGGGCCATTATTCTGATTCCCACTGGGGCAGACAAAGAGAGACCACAGGCCTGACTTCTGTGCACCCAGACTTCATTCTTTCCCTCATCTCAGGACAATTCATCCCAGAATTCCTACCTCTCTTCCTCGTGCTATTCAGTTAGTCCTCAGAAAACATGGAGAGGGGCATGGGAGGAGCCTCTGGGTCTGGGTGGTGGTGGTGATGTCAGACAGGAGTGAATGGTGAAGTGACCAGAACAGGGCATACTGTGTGCAGACACGGTGGACGCTGAAGTGGGCATGGAGGTGTCTGTGCAACAGGATTTCTCCCCGGAGCTCCATGACAACACTTCTAAGGCCTACTTGGATTTCAGCAACACCTTCAGGAATCAGGTGAGGGGTAGGGGAGGGGAATCAAAGGTCCTCTTCTGGAACTGAGCTTGGGAACCTGAGTGCCCCCCAGGTCTGGAGATTCAGATGTGAGCCCAGGGATCTTTGGCATTTCAGATGCAGAAGATTTACCAAAATGTGCAGGGCTTCAAGGAAGTGAAGATCCTGTCTCTGAGGTAGGAGACCCTTCTGGGGCCAGGGAGGGAGTGTTAGGTCGGGGCAAGGGGTGTGAAAAAAGGCTGGAGAAGCCATCCCTTGCTTTTGGGATTTCATAAAGAGAGGGGTAGAGTGAGTATGCAAGGGAATCACTCCATGGGGGACTCTGGCGATCATTTTCTAGGGTCATTTCTCTGTAAGAGGGATGCAACCCTACCTTTTTGAGCACAGTGGAAGGAGAGGGATTGCATGAGACATGCAGTGAAGTGGTACCTGTGGACTAGTGGGACACCTGGTGTCTGAACTGCAGTTGATGTCTCTCTGGCTGGCACCTGGTCTGCTGGGTGGGTCAGCATGAGGGAGGCAGAGACCCCACGATGGTAATGCAAGAGAAACGCAATCATTTCTTGTCCCACCTTCTCAGGCTGATGACCTGAGGGAGGTTCTTCTGTGGCAGCCACTTCTGAACATAATGTGTCTGGAATCGTAACTCATTGCCTCTGTCCCCTTTCCCCCCAACACCCATGCACCTGTGGTTGGTCCTGGAGGTGTCCTACTAAGGATCTATGTGTCCCAGGCCTGGGCACCTTTTAAAATCCCCTGACCCCCTCGACCCCCTCAGGAGTGGCAGCATCGTGGTGGACTACTTGGTGCTGCTAGAGTTGCCCTTCAGTGGCCAGCTGGAGAGCGAGTACGATCAGATGAAAACAGCCCTGGTGGAGAAGCTCCAGAACGTCAGCCAGGACCAGGACAGCTGTCAGAATAACCAGTGTGAGTGGAGGCTGCGGGCCTCGGGCGGGGGGGAGGAGTCAGGTCACAGCCACTATTCCAGCCTGCTTTAGCTCAGACAGAGGCCTCCTGTGGTATCTCCAGAAGGTTGGGAGAAGGGACACAGGTCCACAGACAATTGAGTGAAGGATGGGGCTAAGGACGGGCCTGCCAGAACCTGGGTGCTGGACAAGAGACTCCCCCGCCCACAGCTCTCAAGGTTTCCAGGATGACTGAGGACCCCTGATTCTTCAGGGGAGATGCAGCCCAATGGAGGCTTCTCTTGCAGCCCATCCACACCGCCCCCATACTGACAGAACCCTTGCTGCCCCTCCCTGTGCTTTGTCCTGCTTCCCTGTCCCTGACTTCTTGAACACCCCCTCCAATCCCACCTATGCCTGTGTCCCTCCAGCCCTGTGTTTTAAGCCTGACTCCATCAAGGTGAACAACAACACCAAGACCGAGCTGAGCCCGGAAGGTGAGGGGACGGTAAAGGGCTGAGTGGCCCCAGGAGAACATGACCCCTTCCACCAGGGACATCTACCCATTGAAATTCCCTGGTGAAGAGGGGGAGACCTTTTGGGGAGGCAGGTGATGTGGCCCAGTAGGGCTGCCCTTCCTGAGGCAGCAGGGAAGGTGAGGAGAGGGTGAAGGTCCTGGCGACCTGCTCTCCCCTCCTTTAATCCCAAGGTCTACCTTATGACACCCCACCCTCGGAAATGTAGTCCTTCCCATCCATTTTCAGAGGCATTATAACCCCGCACCTGAGTACAGTGGATGAGGTCCCTGTCTCTCTGCACCCCCTACCCAACCCACAGCCATCTGTCGGCGCGCGGCTGCCCAGGGTTATGAGGATTTCTACTTCCCCTTGGTGGAGGAGAACCGGCTCCGCTGCGTCACCAAATGCACGCCGGGAGTGAAGGGTGCCATCGACTGCAACCAGGGCCAGTGCCTTCTAGAGAAAAGTGGTCCTGCTTGCCGGTGAGGCTCCGCCCACAGCCCGCCGCCTTCAAGCCGACCCCCCGCCCACCCAGGCCCCGCCCCTGGATGCCCCTCTCCCTCGCCCTAGGGCGGACCCCACCCCGGAAGTGTTGAGGGAGTGTGACCTGTGCTGCCCTCCTCCAGCTGCTTTTCCACCGACACTCACTGGTTCTCTGGCCCGCGCTGCGAGGTGGCAGTCGCCTGGAAGACTCTGGTCGGAGGCCTCGCGGGGGCTGCTGCGCTGCTGTTGCTGCTGGTGGCGCTCAGCGTCTTCCTGCGCTCCCAGAGGAGGCGCGGCCAAAGCCGAGGCTGGTGAGCGCTCTGGGGGTAGGCGTGAGGGCGGCAAAGGGTTCCGAGACTGAGCAGCCTTAACCTGACCACGTGACACCTCGACCCAGGTCCTGGGAAGACGACGACAGGAAATGGTTTGAGATGTGGGATGAGGACACTGTGGGGACTTTTACAAACTTGGGCTTCCAGGACGACGGAACAGGTAAGTCCTGCCTCCTGGGAAGGTGGGCAGGGGGAACCAGTGGGAACCACTGTATGCGTCCTGGGCAGGACCCAACGACCTCCCTTGCCTGAGACAGGCATACACCTCGCGCCATGAAGCTTACGTTGCCGCTTGCCTGCGCCCCTCCGGAGGAAGGCCAGTGTCCTGCACAGACCCTCCCCGCAGGCACAGGCCCACAGGAGCGCCCTGGGCCCTGCCTAACTCTCGTTTCCTCCCTCCCCGTTTTTCTATCCCTTCCTCTCTTCGTATTCTCTAGTCAAGGAGAAAGACGTCCACGTGGCCTTGGAGAACGTGGACACCAGTGTGAGGGTGAGGAGGCAAATGGGGGCTGGATGGTAAGGAGCTCCCCCAGGTCCAGGTCCACCTGCCCTTTCCCTCCTACACCCTCCCCGCCCAGGGTAGGGGGCTGAGCTAGGACCAGAAGGCAGTGACCTCACAGCCAGTCTGAGCAGGGTGGCTCCCTCTTCTCACTCCCTCTCTCACACGCTCTGTGGCAGGTACACACCAAGAGACCTGAGGTGTCCTCACTGTGAGCCCTGCACTACTCCCTCTACCCTGCCCAGCCGGAATGAACCATCTATACTGCGTCCATTTCAAGAGATGGCCCAGGTCTCATGCAGCGCGGTCTCCTGGTTTCCTTGGCAAAATCAGGCTGTTCTTTGGCCCGTGTCCTTCTCGCAACTTGGGTGAAACCCACCTGAAGACCCAGTTCAGATTTAGGCTCTTCCACTCCGGAACCTTGGGCAAGTCAGTAACTTCTCTGAACCTGTGGAATAGGTATAGCATACTTGTTCTGATACCTTGTATAGTTGTGAAAACCAGAAGTGTTCGGTCAATTCTCTGTCCCAGTGCACCTTCCTGTGTCAGCCCTCATGCTTGGATGGCCTCTGTCAGATCTCCAGACCCCACAGTCTTCTCTGGGTCTCAGGCCTTAGTCTCTACACTGTGCACATCCCGACCGCCTGTTCCTCACCCTACACCTAAAGCTGGCCTGCAGCCCATCCCAACCTCTGCTTATGTAATTCCCTGCCATACTCCTTGCTCTCATTCCTTATATTTTCTTCCCCTTTGAACCCACATTTTAAACTACTGCCCCCTCACATCCCAGGCCCCATCCCTGATCTCCCCAGTGTCCATATTCTCCCTTTCCCTATCCTTGTACCCTCAGCTCTGAGTCCTTCCTCCCCACTCTAGTGCCCCGGTCCTAAATCCTCCTTGTCCCATACCCCTCATCCTAGCTCGGTACACATGCCCCAGCTGTGTTCCCCAGGCCCTGGTCCTCTATTCTGAGGCTCCATCCCTTCCTCTCATCCCCAGAAGCCCTGGATCCCTGTGGGTGGAGGGCGGGATATAGGTTGTCCCAGGTCCTCAAGGACGGGGGGAAGTGGGGCCTGAGATGGAGAACCAGGCCCCACTTCCCCTCCCACCCCTCCCGTACCGCCTCACCCCTCTTCCACCCCCTTTGCGTCT